GTTTACGGTTCAGGGTTTAGGGTTTGGGGTTTAGGGTTTAGGGCTTAGGGAACGCACGAAAAACACAGCCGAGCACCACGTTGTCTGAAATTGGAAAGGCTCACGATACAAGCATTGGCGCAAGAAGTTTGCCTAAGACAGCGAGCCCTATCATGGTGGCTTATGCTTCCGGTTCCGGTGGTTGTTCTGTTGGTTTGGCCTCGGTTTCTCTTGTTAGATGGAAGAGAGTCGTTCTCGTGTAATTTGCCAAAACAATGGAAGCACGAAAGCTAAAACGTGTTGTTATTGTATTTGTTGGGTAGCAGGGCTTCTTCGGTTTACAGGGGTGCAGGGCGTCGGGCTTGAAGACAAGCTTGAGATGAGCATGCTCCAAGCCCGAGACCCGAAGATGTTTGTCTGCACATTGAGTCACTGGGGCAGTGAGCTTTCGCGTCCGAACCGCCAGGGCTCAAGTCCAAACAGCACACACAGCCAGAGATAGGCAGAGAGAGGGCTGAGGGTCAACAAGTTACATAGCTCCCCAAAATTAAGCTTTTAGGGAGGGTTCTGTAATTCAGGGATTTCAGCTGATGCAAATCTGCGAGTGGCCTTTGAAACCAATTGGATATGTCAACTGCGTTGCTAATGGGAATTCCCTAACATCTTCCAAAAGTGGGGTGAAACGGGCAGCCCCGTTGATCTGAAAAGGGTATGCATCTTTGCACACCCCTGCGCTGTTTTCCGCCTGAACACGTCGCGGCCTTGGTCGAGGGCCCAGGGTTTGGTGATGGGAAGGCGGTTTTCGCGCAAAACCGACACGTCGAGTCGCTTTAGTTTAGGACTTGAGATGGCTTGAGATGGGTTGACGGGTGAAAAGCTGACGTCGTGGGGGCCTCACATTTCAGGAAGGGCTTCAAAAGCTTCAGACAAAGAGGAAGCTCAAGGTTTAGAGGGTCTGGGGTTCAGAGGGTTTAGGGAGTCGTAGGGTTGTCAGATTTGCGATGCCTGCTTGCCCCGGCAGTTTCTTACCACTAGCCCAAACATGACTGAGGGTCAACCAGTCCTTTGCCGGTCCCAGCACGGCTGCACTCCCAACCAAAAACCCTAATGCCCTTGTTTGGATGCACATTGATTTGCTTTTGTCGTCGCGCGGCCATGGCCTTGGGTTTGCCTAAGGTTTCACGATGTGTTGGGTGCATCGTATAGAGTCTGCTTGGAGAAGTAAGCCCAGAAGCCATTCATCGTGCTGAGGTGGCCAGTCCAGATCGGCTCCGAGAACGCCCAGAGGTCGGCAAGCTTGTCTTTTGCGCAGGCTTTTTGCGCGCATGTGCCTATGTAATCCTATGTATGTGTAGCTATGTGTACTAACAGATGATACCCCTATTATCATCCCTACTAAGGACTGTTAGTATAAGGGGGAACATCGCAATGTATACACATATACATTTACAACTACAGGCACAAAGCACTTGCTTTTGATTTTTGAGAGCCCATGGAATGCATGGTGCCAGGATGTCCAGAGATACGGGGAGGCATGGACCCCTGACAAGTCAGACATGAGAAGCGACGGTGACTCAGATGACCCCGAAAGCTTCCCGATGATTTCAACTGCTGCATTCGCCCCTGTCAGCATACCGGTGGCTGTGCTCTGCTGCAGGACTTGAACAAAGCAAACCGAGCCTTGCAAACACTTGTCGGACCGCGATCCTAGACCCTGAAGCCCCTCAGCCCTAAATCCTGTACAGGCTTTGAGAGGTGTCTGTTGGACAGGGCCCACTCCTGCCGGGATGCCGTTCGGCGATTTTCTGCGGCATGGTCACAAGATGTCACAAGTGCATCGATGCATCGTACGCAGGTGTGGTGTACGATAACACCAAACTCCTCCCTGCCTGTTTCTGCTTTCTCAGGAGGCAACTGGCCCATGCGTTGGACGGAGTTTGGGTTTCTGGCTCGAAGGGGCTTGCAAGGTTTTGGTGAACGGTGAAGGTGCCAACCGACAGACGGCCTACTCCGAAATCTCAGCGTGGCAAGTCTAGTAGATACGCAACTTGAAAGCGCCCCTGGCCGGGCGTGGCCGTGCGAAGCACTCTGCAATCATTTGCACGACTACCTCCACGAACACGACGACGACTACTACTATTACTATCGTTACTACGATTACTACTACTACCACTACCACTACCACGACCACGACCACGACCACTACCACGACGACGACGACGACGACGACGACGACGACGACGACGACGACGACTACTACTACTACTACTACTACTACTACTGCCACTACTACCACTACCACTATTTTTCATTCCAATCGCAGCCGGTCACTCAGCTTGGCGTCAGGTACATGGCAGCGCATTGCACCGGTGCTTCGTGAGCACTAGAACCATAATGGGCAAGTCCCGCTACGAATAGCTGCAAACTTGCGTCCTACTCAACCTGTCAAGAGAAGGGTGCACAGTGGCACAGGGTGCACAGTGGCACAGACAAAAACTGCCTCAGCATGTAATGCCGGTGGCAGTGGACAAACAGTATCGGGCGCAGTGTCACGGCCAGTAGTGAGGTCCTCGTCACTTGGTATGTACAAGACATAGAGGTGCTTTACACAGGACGGCATGTTTTTATGTACAAGTGGCCCAGCCGGGCACACTGACGGTCTAGAGTGGCCAACGATGGCTCACTAGCCTCTCACTCACTGTCAAGGTCTGTTGCAGGTGGTACTACTCCTACTACTACTACTACTACTGCTACTGCTACTGCTACTGCTACTGCTACTGCTACTGCTACTGCTACTGCTACTCCTACGACTACTGCTACTACTACTACTACTACTACTACTACTACTACTACGACGACTACGACTACGACTACGACTACTACTACTACTACTACTACTACTACCACTACTACTACTACTACTGCTACTACTACTACTACTGCTACTACTACTACTACTACTACTACTACTACTACTACTACTACTACTACTACTACTACTACACTACTACGACTACGGCTACTACTACTACTACTACAACCAACTACTACTACTACTGCTACTACTATTACTACTACTACGACACTACTACTACTACTACTACTACTACTACTACTACTACTACTACTACTACTACTACTACTACTACTACTACTACTACTACTACTACTACTACTACTGCAAGTCCCAGTCTTCCATGGCAGCGAGCAATGTCCGCAAATCTAAGAGAAGACCATCACTCAAGACTTCAATCATTGCTTGGGCTTCCCCAAGCTAGTTCTTCATCAAGCCAATTCCTTTGCTCAGAAGTCGCAGATCCACCTTCTAAAAATCAGAACTTCCCAGAATCGAGGACTAGCTATGGTTGGCTCTGCTCACCTTGCCCGAAGCCTTAGCTGCAAGTTTGTCCGCTTGTGTCCCACGTTTTGATCCAGCGTCAGGACTGCGTGCACCAATTCTAGAAGCGCAACAGGCAGATTGTCGGATTTGGCAGAGCGTTGGCAGTGAGCCTTGTTCATCCCCCGCGGCCCTGATCTGAAAGGCAAGGGCAAGCAGGTTGGTCAGTGGAAAGGCCTGAGCAAGGGCCGTGATGAGGAAAAGGGCGTCAACCAAGGGCGCTCCAGGGAGGCACATCACCTTCGTAAAAGAAATCCACGTAGGATCCGAGAAGAAAGGGTTGTGTGTCCAGTGGCAGATTGGACGTTGCACAAGGGGGAGCTTCTGCCCCTTTGTTCATGCATATGTGCATACGCGTGCGGGAGCAAGTCGCACACAGCCTTGCAGCATGAGCAGCGAAATGCTGGGCCTGTGTTGTCGCCAGCAAGCAACATTCCTTCACAACCCGTGTTGGGTCACGTCGTAAGCAACACACCTGGTTCCAGTGATGTGGTGACATCCGGGCAGGTGGGTGTTACACATGTTGCAGAAGAAAGTTCTTCATGCACACACGACTTCCAGTTCCTGTCTTCGTTACCGTCAGCCTCTTGGCCTCCACGCGTTCTTTCCGCCAGGAGCATTACTTCAGTGGCGAATCGGACTGGAACTTTGGGGTGCACATGGGTAATCCTTCTGCCCGCTCTTTAGTTGCGGATGCACTTCCAAAATTGTGTGCAAGCCTGAATGGTTTCCTGTGCCAACTGTTCCCAGGTGAGACCTGGAATGCCTTGTGTGTCAGCAGGAACATTCTGACGTCCCCGCACAAGGACACAGCAAATTTGCCGGGGTCGTCAAACTTGACAGTGGGAAAAGGTTCGAACTCGGATGGAGGTCTTTGGATAGAGGATCAAGCAGGCACTGTGCCTCAGTTCATTTCCAAGCTTGGGGTGACTCTCATGGGGAAGATCGTCAGAACGCATCATAAGCCATTTAAGTTCCCGGTGCACCTATGGCATTGCACCCAACCATGGCTTGGTGATAGATGGGTGCTGACGGCCTTTACTCCAGGTGTGTCAGGCGATGCACTTCTAGATCTGGGGTTCTCTTGGCCCCAGCCACGGAACATGCCCCCGGCACCGACCCTTAAACCTGTAAATTGACCTCCCACCCAGAGGGTTAATTGGGGAAAGCCTTCTCCAAAGGGGTTTGTCAACCACAGCTTGATTCTGCAGCTCCAAACGCCTTGGCCACCACCATCTTCGCCTGCCCTAGATCACTCAGCGCTGCAGCAGTCTTTAAGGATTTTTCTGGACATTTGGCGCGGAGAAGTGCAGGAGTTAGGTTTCCCAACACTTGCAGTTGATATCCTGCTGGATAGCAGCATGGACATTCTCGATAACACTTTTCGAGCAACTCTTGTTCATCTGTGGCTCAGGGGTTGTGGAGTATTGTGCGGCATCTCCCTGCTGCTCAGAATACTCCCGACTAAAGCTCTTTGGAGGTCCGCCTTTTGCCATCCGCACCCCAACCCAGCTAGAGGACCTGGAGAATTTGCCCCCATCAGCTCAGACTCGTGTACAAACAAGTTAGGAGATACTTTTGAGGGCATGCAAATGTCTTCAAGCAGTCCATGGGGCCGGAGGCCATGGCCATTTGGAGCAACCATCAGGTGCCATGTCCTGGGATGAAGCGTGCGTGCAAGGCTGGTTGCACTGTGGGTCCACAGCTCTCATTGTTCTCCCAGTCTGGCTTTTGGGGAGAACTGGGCAAAAACTGGCTGTTTGCATCGAGCTTTCAAGCCCTGTCCGTGATGGGGCAGACGTGCCAACACGGACGCAATGCACACGAGTCCGTGCAAGAACGTGAGAGTGATGGTTCGTTCAGAAGCCGTAAGACTGCTAAGTTCCCTGAATGCCTGGCCGCCGAATTCGCATTGCACATCAGGCCGCTTCTTGCTGGTGCACAGCTTGAACACACCCTTGCCACAGCGTCGGCGTTGGTACCTGTCAAGGCCCTGGACGTTGGACCGTGGGTGATCCACGATGGGGCAGCTCGCCACTCTTGTGGGGATTGGAGCACTCCATTAAGCCAGGATAAGCTAAAAAATCTTAGGACATACCTTTTGGGGAAAGTTTGCGACATGCAGGGCCCCAAACGCCTGCTTGCTAAAAGCCACTTGGCCTAATCCTGAACCCCTTTTCTCCGAGTTGGAGGTGCAAGATGCGCGCAAAGACTTCTTCTCCTGCCTAGGTGTGGCGACGGATGCAAATACATGGGAGGTCCGTGAGCATCAACCTTTGCATCTGCATGCGCTTGAGGCACTTGCCTGTTTTTGTGGTGATCCGGATGTGAGTCTTTGCAAATCCCTTTTGCAAGGCATCCCCACGGGGTATAACAACGATATCCCGGTGTCAAATTGTTTTTGGCCGAATCAGAAGGAGAACTTGGAGGATGTATCACTTTCCATCCACATGCAGAATTGGCGCTCGGCCTCAGTTGATCCGTCAGTGACTCAGGCTTTGCTGCAGGAGGAAATTGATCAGGGTTTTTGCTTCAAGTTTGATGGCGATATTGAAGCAGCTAAAGCAAAATGGCCGGGTGCACTGGCGATAGGGAAGTTATCAGTGGTTCGTGCGCCAAATCGATCGGAAAGGTTGGTCTTAGATAACTCAGTTTGTGGCACGAATGCAAGTTGCAGCGTTCCGGAAGTCCAGCACATGCCATCAGTCAGGGACGTGATGCACTGTTTTCCCCTGCGGGGCACTCGCTCGCGGCAAGCTGCCATATCTCTTGACGTCAAAAGTGCTCACAAACGCTGTGTTGTCAAGGAGTCAGAGCAGGGTCTCCTAGGCTTCGCTTTTGCAGATTCCCTGTACTTCTATCGCGTGGCCCCATTCGGGGCGGTCTTTGCACAGCATTGGTGGGGGCGCTTAGGTTCCTGCCTCCTTCGGTTGTTACATATCTTGATTTGGTTCAGCCATGCAGGCCACTTGTTTGTGGACGACTACTTGTTTTCTCAGGCGGAAGGCGTCTTGCCAGCAACAGGGGCAATGATCTGCCTCTTCCTCCAGGTTCTGGGGGTACCTTTGAGTTGGAAGAAACTTCAAGACTTCAAGTCAGCTCTCGAGTTCATTGGATAGGGTGGTGTTTTTGTTACACCTCCGGGGTAGTCTCGCTGGCAGAGGAGAAACGGTTAAAACTTTTGGGGATGGTTCAAGATCTTCAGTGTAATCCAAAAATTTCACGCAAGGATTTGGAGAGGTTTGTCGGGCTCGCTCTTTGGGCTGCGCACCTTTTCCCGACAATGAAGTCGCTTTTGTACACCTTCTATCATGATCTTTTTAGCCCGGCTGCTACCAACTACTCGGTGGCCCCAGATGTTTGGCCACAGCTTCGTTATCACTTGACGGAATCCCTGCAGTTCAAATCGGTCCCTCCAGGTACAGCAATTCCACTCCACAGCACACTATTGTCAGTTCGTCATCAGGATTTGTCAACTTTGTCTGACTTGGATCGAGTGCGCATTACAGACAGGCGGGTTTGGATGCGCGTGTCAAGTCAATCAAGCTCAAAGCGCAAGTTGAGCCCCGAGTCAGTGCGCATTTTGGGTTTGTTTGAACACTGGCTTTTGCATATGTGCCCATTTTGCAGCATGCGCCCCTTAGGCAATGCATCCTTTGAGGCAAGAGCAGATGCAAGTGCACATGGCTCGATGTGCTGCATTGGTGGGTACGTTTCTCACCCCACGATAGGCCAGCGTTGGTTTCGCGAAAGTTTTCCCTACAGTGCCTTCAGGGCCCTTGAGATTTCCGTGCAAGCAGACATGCAGCTTGATATTGCTTGCTATGAAGCGCTCGCCCAGGGAGCGCTGATCTTGGCAACATCTTCTCTTTTACCTTGCGCCAGAATCCCCTTGCAGCTACGTTCCGCATCAGACAACACAGGTGCAGAAGCAGGTGTGAACGCTTCCTTCTCCACCGCTCGGCCTCTCTGTTTTTTCCTAGAAAGGATCTCTTTGCTGGCAGCTGTACATAGAACAACGCTGGATGTGTCACACATTTCCGGGGAACGCAACGTTAAGGCTGATGCCTTGTCTCGTCCTGCTGAATATGAGATTCCCCCTGATTGCCTTCAAAAGGACAGAGTGCGGCTGTCACTCGAGGCCCTTTGGTTGCCTCGTCCACAAATTTCTGTCTTCCCCGAAGGGGCTCACCTTCCATGGTCTGTGCGGAGCAGGGGAGTGCCGAACAACCTCACATAGGTTTGGGGTTTTTTCTGGGGCGAGGTTGCTGGGTAGTTTGGTTTGGGGTGATATGGTCCCACCCATCAACCTTCTTTGTGCATCGTTAGCTGTTTCCTCGAGTGGACGTTGGTGAGGATTTCCGGCACTCCTGAGAAAACAAAGCCTGGAGCGAAGCTCGCAGCCTTTTGAAGCCTCCGGCTATACCGCTAGCAAGCACAACTAGTTTATAGAACGTCAAAAAAAATGTTTGTTGCATCTGTGAATGGGTTCTGGTTGTGGTGTGGTTGTTGCGGCTTGTGGTTGTGTGTGGTTTTGTCAGTGGTTGTCACGCGTCACCGTGTTGTCGTCGTCCACCAAAGTTGGAGGAGAAGGAGGAGAAGGAGGAGGAGGACGCGGAGTAGTAGTAGTAGAAGTAGCAGTAGTAGTAGGTAGTAGTAGTAGGTAGTAGTAGTAGTAGGTAGTACAGGTAGTAGTAGGAGTAGTAGTAGTCGTAGTCGTCGTCGTAGTAATAGTAGTAGCAGTAGTAGTAGTAGTAGTAGTAGTAGTAGTAGTAGTAGTAGTAGTAGTAGTAGTAGTAGTAGTAGTAGTAGTAGTAGTAGTAGTAGTAGTAGTAGTAGTAATAGTAGTAGTAGTAGCAGTCGTCGTCGTAGTAGTAATAGTAGTAATAGTAATAATACTAGTAATAGTAGTACTAGTAGTAATAGTAGTAATAGTAGTAATAATAGTAATAGTCGTAATAGTAGTAATAGTAGTAATAGTAGTAATAGTACTAATAGTAGTAATAGTAATAATAATAGTAATAGTAGTAATAGTAGTAATAGTAATAATAGTAGTAATAGTAGTAATAGTAGTAATAATAGGAATAGTAGTAATAGGTAATAATAGTAGTAGTAATAATAGTAATAGTAATAGTAGTAATAGTAATAATAGTAAAATAGTAATAATAGTAATAGTAATAATAGTAATAGTAGTAATAGTAGTAATAGTAGTAATAGTAGTAATAGTAGTAATAGTAGTAATAGTAGTAATTGTAGTAATAGTAGTAATAGTAGTAATAGTAGTAATAGTAATAGTAATAATAGTAATAGTAAAAATAGTAATAGTATTACTAATATTAGTAATAATAATAGTAATAGTAATAGTAGTAATAGTAATAATAATAATAGTAATAATAGTAATGCTTGCTTGCGCACTCCTCAGGGCAACCGTCCTCGTCAAGCGGGTCTCTGGTACCTAAATGTGTACAACCTTGCGGGAAACACAGCAGCACCAGATCAAAATTTGTGTTCGAAGGTGGCTGCAGGGAGAAGCAGGGACTGTTGCCTGCATCACTGACATCGCTGCACTCTGCGCCAAAAGCGCGGTAGAGCTGTACGAGCGGGCAAGCAAGCGGCAAGCTACCAGCACAGCTGAGCGTAGCTGCCAATGCGAACCCCGTACACACTGCCCGTAAACTACTTGTATGCATAACCTCTCACTCGACATGTTCATTCTTCACTCCAAGCTTTTGCATGAGATCCATGGCTTTGCGCTCCATAGATCCACGTGGCGCCTGCCCGAAGAGCTGGATGCCTCCATCAGCAACGAGCGCGCTAACAAGAGCCTTTTCCATGTCTTTGTGCTCATCGCTGAGTCGCAAGAAGAGCTTCTTGTGCGTGGAGACGTGCATATTCTGGACACGGCAAACCTTCACTGCACCAGCGAGCTGCGAAGCCTTGGGCGGGTGGCTCGCAAGGAAGTGCTCGATGATCTCCTGGTCAGCTGCCCCGAGATTGGCCTTCAAGCAAAGGAGCAAAGCAACCAGGGCGTACTCATCTGGTTGTCCTTCTTGGTGGCCAGAGTGGCCACGTGTGCGGTCGGCATGAAGCTGGCGAGCTTGTTCACAAGCTTTGATCGCCCCATGATTCGCCTCAAACTTGATGGTGGAGTAAGCCATGCTACAGAGCAATCGCAAGTCTGCCGCATTCTTGAGGCTCAAGCGTGTGATGATCAGGAGTAGCTCTCGCTCAAGGTCCGACTTGTTGCTCGCTACGGCCCTGGTCTTGGCTGGCTTCTCGCCTTCAAGCTGAGGCCGAAGGTGCGCTGCCCACTGGTCGGCCATGGCGCTGGAAGTAGTAGTCGATGCGCGGTCTCCGGAACGCAGTGGGCAGGTGCGACGCCAAGTGTGCTTGAGCCTCACCCAGCAGTCGGAGCGGAACATCACAGATTGCACACTTGCAAGGCAAGCTCGCGTGTACTTGATGCACTGTAGCGCTGCCTGCCGTCCGGCTACAGTACCCTCGTCTGATGCTATCATGCAAATGGTTGCGCGCCACTCGCACAGAGGCCAAGGTAGCCCGGCATGCGCAGCACTGGTTACTGATGGTGAGCAGTGTTGCCAAAGAGCGCCTCTGTTCATGTTGTTTGCTGTGAGCCAGATGTACTGCGAGAGCACGGAAAGTGGGGAAGGTGGCATTGCACGGCTGGCCATCAGCGAGCAGCGCATCACATGCAAAAGTCTCATCGGCGGCATCCGCTCCTGGAGGCGCAGCAGCCGGAAGCGACAAACCTGGAGGGGGGACCAGGGCTCCCAAGTACCTCGTCCTGAGTTCTGCCGGATCTTGTTGCAAGAAGGCTTCACGGAAGTCTGCATCAACGAACAGCACGAGCGGCCCGTCAGCAGCCGCAGACATGAAACCACTGCTGTCCCATGTAGCCAGCTGTCGAATGTCTTCACCCAGCTGTCGCATCCAAGCGTGTGACCGATCATGGATGGCACCGTTCTCGTCGAAAGGCGCCGGAGTGCCAGGGATGTGCCCGAAAAATGTGAAGAGGAGCGCGAGGTGCTCCTCGGGCCTAGCCACAATGCGCTGCCACCACTGCAGGCGTTGCGCTGACAATTCAACAGCTGTAGGTGCAGAACGCAGGAGGCGCCACACATGGTCGTTTGAGAGGGCCTTGTATTTGTCCACACTTTTCTCGCACGCTGTGCCTTGTAAGACCTTTCTACCAAACTTGAGGAGCTCCTTGTCCAGGGTACGCACATCAGGCGCCTGCACAGGAAAAGCAACCAGTCCGCTGTAGGCAGCTCCCACAACCATGCTCTTGAAGACCGTAAGTCTCCATCTTTTGACACGACACTTGGCCCAGAACTTGCCGAGAGCATAGTATGCAGTTCTGGCTGCTTGTACTCTACGGCCTCGTTCATCATGGAGTTGGCCATCAAAAGCCAAGTACGGCCCCAGGCAACGAGCGTGTCGCTGCACGCTGCCAGGGACGATTCTGGGAAGAGTGAAAGCGTTTCGCAGGTGGCTGTTGGCACCCTGTCCGGCAAAGAAGGGCAGCACCTCTTGTTTGGCTTCATTTTGCGCAAAGTCCGGAGCCAGGGCACGTGAAAGAAGGGTGCTCGACAGCGACGCGGCATTGTGGAGGCAGAGCGCACTGTCTGCTCGCATGGTTCTTGCCACATCATCAGCGTAAGAAGATAGCGAAACATCCATTTGCATGGGCACGGAGGGCGGGTCAACAGACTCCGAACGCTCAACCGCCAGATTGCCCGCCAGTATGTTTGCCAACCCACGCTGCAGCTCGGGACTGGAGGCTGTAACGGCCAGCCGCTTTGAACTTTGCAAGTAGCTGTCCAGGCGGGGGTGGTAGGCAGCCAAGAACCATGGGCCGGCAATAGTGTCACATGGTTCTTGGCTGACTACCACCCCCGCCTGGACAGTAATAGTAGTAATAATAGTAATAGTAGTAATAGTAGTAATAGTAGTAATAGTAGTAATAGTAGTAATAATAGGAATAGTAGTAATAGGTAATAATAGTAGTAGTAATAATAGTAATAGTAATAATAATAATAGTCATAGTAATAATAGTAATAGTAATAATAATAATAATAATAGTAATAGTAATAGTAATAGTAATAGTAATAAGTAATAGTAATAGTAAAAGTAATAGTAGTAGTAGTAGTAGTAGTAGTAGTAGTAGTAGTAGTAGTAGTAGTAGTAGTAGTAGTAGTAGTAGTAGTAGTAGTAGTAGTAGTAGTAGTAATAGTAGTAGTAGTAGTAGTAGTAGTAGTAGTAGTAGTAGTAGTAGTAAGTAGTAGTAGTAGTAAGTAGTAGTAGTAAGTAGTACGTAGTAGTAAGTAGTAGTAGTAGTAGTAGTAGTAGTAGTAGTAGTAGTAGTAGTAGTAGTAGTAGTAGTAGTAGTAGTAGTAGTAGTAGTAGTAGTAGTAGTAGTAGTAGTAGTAGTAGTAGTAGTAGTAGTAGTAGTAGTAGTAGTAGTAGAGTAGTAGTAGTAGTAGTAGTAGTAGTAGTAGTAGTAGTAGTAGTAGTAGTAGTAGTAGTAGTAGTAGTAGTAGTAGTAAGTAGTAGTAAGTAGTAGTAAGTAGTAGTAGTAGTAGTAGTAGTAGTAGTAGTAGTAGTAGTAGTAGTAGTAGTAGTAGTAGTAGTAGTAGTAAGTAGTAGTAGGTAGTAGTAGGTAGTAGTAGGTAGTAGTAGGTAGTAGTAGTAGTAGTAGTAGGTAGTAGTAGTAGTAGTAGTAGTAGTAGTAGTAGTAGTAGTAGTAGTAGTAGTAGTAGTAGTAGTAGTAGTAGTAGTAGTAGTAGTAGTAGTAGTCGTAGTAGCCGCCACGGATCAGACGGCCGGGCACTTGCATCCTGGAAAACCGGGCTTTGGGCGCAACTGCTGTCCTAGAGGTTCAATCAGTCCTCAGGGGAACGTAACAGCTTGTGCCTTACTGTGAGCCATGGTGAGCCGCGATCTTTGAGCCGTCTGATCTGCCGGGTCCCAATTCCCGGGCCTCCTGAGCCCAGACATTGCAGTCACTGCATTCTTTCAGGGGGTAGGCGAGAGGGTTTCCACTGCTCCGCGAGGTGGAAGGAGTACCCACAAGAAGCAAACGCAGCCTGTTTCAGGTGGGGAAAAACTAGCGGATGGCGGTACCTTCGAAGCACCAAGACAATTTTCGGAGCAATCGTAAAGTTGCATTCAGGAGAGCATGTACTTTAGTTTCACGCACTCAGCAGAGCGTTTCTTACAGGAAAGGGATCTTGACGCCGGAATATGTGGAGAGAAGCGGCTTGCGCCCTCCCGACCTGCCAATAGCGACAGAGGGGTCGACACAGTCGACGCCCCCGCTATGCGCACAGCGCCCAGACCCAGAGGAGGCAACATGGTCAAGCCACTGAGGGTATTGACTTGGAACGCTGGGCACTTAGGTCAACAGCAATGGGCTGAGCTTCGCACCTGGTTGCGTACTGCTTCAGATCAGCATGATGTGATCGCCCTGCAAGAGACGCACTGGCAGGAAAGCACAGAGTTTGACGTTGAGGGGTGGCATTGTATTATAAGCTCAGCCAGCAAAGGCAAGGCCAAAGCTCCCAAGGCAAAAAGCAAACCTACGCCAGATCACAACTCCTCTGAACAGCCAGGCACACAACCACGGGCTCAGCATGTTCATGATGACAAAAGGGCAGACGGAGTAATGATACTCACGGCCCCGCACATTCCCAAAGCTACCATAAGATGGAGCGAGCATCACAAAGGGAGGGTCTTAGAGGTGGTCTTCCACTGGAAGGGTGCACGCGTGCACATAGTGACGGTGTATCAGCACGTTTGGACCACCTCCAAAACAGCCCAGCAAAACCGAGAGGATAGATCGAAGTGTCTTGCATTCTTATCCAAAGCGGTCCGAGGAGTTCCGCAGCGTGACACGCTAGTGGTTCTGGGAGATTTCAACTCTACGCTGAACACAACTGCGGGAGTTGTGGGTACCTGCGCTCCAGGTTCTCCGCAACATCGCTCAGCAGAGGATGCATACCTCCAACGCCTCGTTCAAGGACATGGACTAGTGGCGCTCAACACATGGTCCTCGGGATCGGGCTTGACGTTCCGCACTGCCACCTCAGAGTCCCAAATAGACTATATCCTTGTCCCGAAGTCACTGGCGCGTGGAGAATCTAAGCAGAGCAAACCTCTGACCGACTTCCCGCTGGGACGGTGGAAGAAAGGCGGTCATTACCCGGTCGAGGCTAAGATTCGCCCCCTAAGGCACTGGCAGCTTTCCTCCCACCCTCCCCCCCCCTCCCTATGATAAGCAGGCTCTCGAAGAGGCGGTGCGATATAATCATCCCAAAGCACAAGCAATGAAAGAGTGGGTTGCTGACCAGCTCTCTCAGATCACCACGGTTGACATGGAGGAGGTTAATGATGTGCTAATCAAGGCGTCTGAACGCTACTTCCCAAGAGCCCCTAAGCCCTCCTCCCCTCCCCTTAATGCGATGCACAGGGCAACCAAGCGCATGTGGGCCAGGTTGACGGCTTTGCATGAGGACTTAGCCAGCTCAACGCTATCCCTGGCAGATCACGAGATACTGGTGCAGGACCTCTCCATGTGGCACAAGCAGGCTGTCACAAGAGCACATAGACAACGCCTAGCAGATTTCACTCACGAGGTAGACCAATCTACACAAAGTGGTAACTCCTATCAGGCTCATAAGACATTGCAGAAGCTCCGCCCCTGGCAGCCGCAGCCCAAAACGCAGTTAGTCAACAATGATGGCTATTTGATGGCTGCAGAAGAGGAACTCAAGCTCATGCAAAACCATGCCAAAGCAGTGTTTCAACAGCATGACAGACTACGATTTGAGGTCTGCAGCCTGCCAACGCTCTCAGCCCCCCTGCTTTCGAAGCACATCAGCTCCATCAGACCACACAAGGCTGTCCCTCAGAACTCAGCGTCGGCAGCCGCGTGGAAGCTATGTTCCGACTCGGCCAGCGAGCGCCTGGCAGCGTATTGCAACGACCAAGCCCGCAAAGCTGAGCACAGCTCGCTGGACAGGGCAGTGATCCTCTCTGCACAGCTGACACTGAAGGACACTGACCTCTGCTTTATCCCGAAGCCCAACAAGCCCCCAACCAAGCCCTCTAATCTTCGCCCACTTGGAATCATAAGACCGGATGGCAAGGGTCTGGCGGGGGCGTGCAGAGATCTCCTGGCTCCCTATACCTCCAGCTACCTGAGGTCGGTGCTGCAGTTCGCTTACCAACCTCACAGAGGACTTTCTGATGCTCTCTCCAGAGTCTCGAAGCATACCAGAGAGGTACGCCAAATGTGCGCACAATCGCGGCTTAGCAGGCACTCCCAGCATGCTGGACACCGCAAACCGGAACTGGTGGGAGGGATCTGCTTTGCGCTTGACTTATCACAGGCCTTCGACATGGTTCGCCGCCAGGACCTCATGGACACTCTTCAAGAAGCTGGGGTACCGTCAGACATCCAGGGATTAGTGGCATCACTGCATTCCAACAGCCGATACACGGTTCGATCCCAGCAGACCTCATGCTCTGTTGAATCCACCGCAGGCATAAAGCAAGGGTGCAAACTAGCTCCAACCCTGTTCTCCCTGCTGACAGGAAAGCTATTCCGAGAACTCGCAGAGGTCGTAGGCTGGGATCGCGTGCTGCATAGCTTGACAGGGTACGCAGATGACTTGACTGTTCATCACACTGTCACCAGCTGGAGGGATTTGCTGCAAGCACACAACATGATAGCTGATCTTCTCCGCATTGTCAGAAAATATGGATTCAAAGTGAACTCTGACAAGTGTCATTTGATGGTTAAGCTAACAGGTACTGCCTCAGCCCGTGCGCACAAACTTTTCAGCCACACAAGCCTCGACGCCCAGGGAGTACAACACCGCAGATGGCGAATCGGAAGCACAAAAGCCCAAGAATCGTTCCCACAATCCACATCCTTCAAGCGCCTCGGAGTGTACGTTTCCTATGGCAACCAGGAAAAAGCGACGCTAGATTTTAGATTGCAAGAGGGTAATGCCAAGCTGCAACAAGTCCGACGATACGTGCACAACCGAAGACTTTCCGGGCCAAAAAGCAGACTGAAGATTTGGCACACAACAGTCTGGGCGACGGTCTCGGCGGGTCTTGTTGACATAGGACTCACAACGGAGACAGCACAACTGCGCAGGTGGCACGCCAGAAAAATTAGGGCGGTTCTCAACAAACCCGTTCATCTCACGGGCATATCGACGCGTCACCTGTACGCAGCCTACGGAATCAAAGACCCAGTCCGGCTGCTGCTGGAACGCCAGAGCAACAGAGTCAGATCGCTAAGAACCAGACAGGAATCCCAAACAAGGCCTGCTGCACTGCAAGCGGCTCCGCGGGATGCACAGCATCCACACAGCCACCAGGATGCCGCGCTGCTCCCCAACTCTCTCCAGTATGCGCAAGAGGTTCTTACAGAGTATGAGGCCTTGATAGCAGTAACCCAAGAAGAGGAGGAGCCTAGACATTGCTGCAGACACTGCTCTTTTCAGACTACCACTGAACAAGGGCTACACATACACGAGGCCAAAATGCACAGGGATAAGTTGGATCGTTATATCCCACCCGACTTTCTGCCAGAGCATTCGAAGGACGGCCTACCTACTTGTGCAGCGTGTCACAAACACTTCGCTCTCTGGAAAGGACTGAAGGACCACCTTCTGTCCGGCGCCTGCAGAGAGCCGGCAGCCCTTTGAAGAATAGACGCTCAGCGCCATGACGAGAGTGCAGCGGCAGGTCAGACCGAACCAGTGCATCCAGGGTCACGAGAACACCTAACTAGCACAGCCGGCACGCATACCGTCACGCAGCTAGCCCGGCAGCCGGCTTCTAAGCGCCTTGTGGATCATTGCGTGCTCTGTGGTTTCTGGACGCCTGATCACACCAAGGTCAAGTCGCACTTGCATCAGGAGCATCGCAGAATTTGGGATGCCCTGCAAGATAGCACTATGACACAATGTCAAAAGCTCGGAACGGAGATCCTCAAAGGCATACCTTGCCCCTTCTGCAGGAAGACGGTCACTGATCGGCGTAAGCATCCGGCGCAGTGGGACCACCACTGGTCCACTGCAATCATTCTTCAAAGCAGCCAGTCCCCAACGGCCGCCAGAGGCCAAATCTAAGTCTTTATCCAAAGCCGTTACAAAGTCCCCCCCAAAAGTAATAACTGCAGAGAGCAATAACTGCCAAGACTCAGCTCCCCCAGCTTCCTCTCTCTTTCCTCTCATGCAGCAAGCGATTCAGAGCGATCCTTCTCATGTCTTTTGTCTCTCCCCTTCCTCTCTTCTGGCAACCCTTGCATTCAAGAACACCTCTAACTACTGCTATGTCAATGCAGCCATACAGGCTCTGCTGGCCACTACCATCTTAGACCCTTCACTGCGGTCACTGCAAGCTCTGATGAGCCTCATCTCTTCCTCAGCACAGTCTAGTGCTGCCCCCCCCCTTAACCTCATCAACTCCTTCCCGCTTAGGAGCCTGCTACCAAGATGGAGATTTGATGGCACGCAGCAAGACTCGGCAGAATTCCTGCAAGGCTTTTTGACGGCTGCTTCCGATCTACCCCTGACGCGACGTTGGGCAACCGTTGATCTAACCACAGGAAGATTGGCGGTGGAAGGAGGACCCCTTGTCATGCTCATGCAACACTCAGAAAGCAAGCCACTGCAGTTCCTAATTGACGAATGGGCGTCGGTACCCCCAAACACCACACTGCTAGGGCAGCAGAAACACGCTATTTTCACAGTGGCCAGATTCACAGGCTCGGGCAAAAACCACCTCCCCATCACGTCCAACAGCCAAGAAGTCCGGGTTCCTGTACTGTATGAGGGCTCCATACGCATGGAACGGGCATACGTGCAGTCCTGCGTATTTCACATTGGCTCTACCCCGCACAGCGGACATTACCGCGCAGTTTGGAGGTCAACACCGACATCGGAGTGGCAGTCGACGGACGACCACCGGCGATCACTGAAGGCAACGGACTCAGATCAAAGACAAGTCCGTCATGGTTCATACATCTTCTTTTTGACATTCCCTGAAGCATCAAGTGACGATGCAGTGATCCTCTGAGCATCACTAGTCGCAACTGGCCAGCACTGCGACCAGCAAGGCAGCACAGCTGCCACCCCCCCCCCCCCTCCCCCCCCCCTCCCCCCCTCCCCCCCTCCCCCCCCCCCCCCCCCCTCCCCCCCCCCCCCCCTCCCCCCCCCCCCCACACTGTCAGCGCTCGAGAACCTCTTGCCGCAGATTGCTGAATCAGAGACAGCTTCTTTGTGAGCTTTTTGGTAGGTTTTGGGGTTTCTGGGTTCTTGGGGTTTTTGGGGTTTTTGGGTGTTTGTGGTTTTGGTTTTGGGGTTTTGGGTTTTGGGTTTAGGGTTTGGGGGTACAGTGCAGCTGCCCAGGCCCAAGGTCCCAATCCAGCAGCCAGGCTGGCAGGACTCCCAGGTGCACATGTGCAAGATGCCCAGGTCCAAGGTCTCAATCCAGCAGCCAGGCTGGCAGGACTCCCAGGTCAGGTGCACAGGTGCAAGGTGCCCAGGTCTAAGGTCCCAATCAAGCAGCTATGCCAGTAGGACTGCCAGGTGCGCAGGTGCAAAGCGCTCAGGTCCAAAGACAGTGGACAGGCAGTTGCTGAAATCTATCAGTGGCGGCCGTCGTGACATGAACTGCACTGCAGTTCATCTCAGCGGGCACAGCCTGCGCTACAGCAATACGAGCGCCACGCCTTCAGACCAGCCAGCTCGCGGAACAAACAGCAACTGTTATGCTTTCATCAGGCTTGCCAGCACCTTACTTCTGCAAGCTGCCTTACCCTGCGCTTGAAAGAATCCTACATCAGAATCAGGAAGCAGAGCTCAAGTCAGGCTGCTTTTGCCTTGGAAGCTGGCCCAACTAAATACAGACATCGCCAATCGCACAAGGGTGCACCTACGGGTGCCGGACTCTTTCTTGAGAAGAGGAGCAGTTCCAG